CTGAAGGATCCTGGGTAAACTTTCTATCAAGGGCATATGCCTCATTTGCAGGCTAGATCCCCAGCTCCGGTCAGGCTCAGGTGGGAGGCAACAAATGGATGTGTCTCTTTGTCTCTCCTCCCTTCTATCCTCCCTAAAAACCAGTAGAAAATTATCCTCAAGTGAGGATTAATAACAACAAATGAATAAATTAAAAAACATACCAAAAGCCCTGGCTGGTTTGGCTCAGTGGCTAGAGAGTCTGACTCTGGACTGAAGGATCCGGGTTAGATTCTAATCAAGGGCCCAACACCCAGGTTGAGACCTCCATCCCCAATAAGGGGCATGAAGGAGGCAACCGATCAATTATTCTCTCAAACTGATGTTTTTATCTCTCCCTTTCCCTTTCTCTCTGAAATCAATAAAAAATATATTAAAATCACACACACCAAAAAACAATACTTATATTCAAAACTTGCTCTACCAGTTCTGCCCGTTGTGTCCAGGACTTTCTGTCCTGGGGATCTGGAGTAAACTGTTTCATGGTTTTTGCTCTGCTCAAGTCTGTCTAACTGCCTACCACAGAAATACCTTCTCAATATTGCAAGTGGGAAAATCACCTAAATTTCTAACTGGAACCACTATTACACAATCATAGGTCATTGAACCTGAAAGAAAATATGTAAGTCTGATGTCATGTTGATGTAAGGGAAGTTCAATCAGATAAAGTGTGTTCATGAGTTTGGAATCCATGCTTTCTTATTTTCAGATGCAAAATTAGTGATTGCAAATGTTTCAGAAGAATGAAAAAACTCATAAAGACCTAAAGGAAACATTACGCAGATTTTGTCAAAAGCAGCCAATATATTGGATGATGAAATATAGGGTTTTCTTAGTATTTCCTAATAAAATTATGAAATATTATATAAGTCATTGAAATAGATGACAGCATTAATTGCTCTCTCAAGGTTTCATTTTTTAAAAAAATAAATAGGTTACTTATCCTGAAGGGATTGTCAATGTCTACTACCAAAAGTGTTATTCTTTTTTTTTTTTTTTAATAAGGAGGCTGAATTTTCTTTTTTAAAAAATATATAGTATTTTATTGATTTTTTTTACAGAGAGGAAGAAAGAGAGATAGAGAGTTAGAAACATCGATGAGAGAGAATCATCGATCAGCTGCCTCTTGCACACCCCCTACTGGGGATGTGCCCGCAACCAAGGTACATGCCTTTGACCGGAATCAAACCTGGGACCTTTCAGTTCGCAGGCCGATGCTCTATCCACTGAGCCAAACTGGTTTCAGCCAAAAGTGTTATTCTTGCCTTAAGTGTTTTTTTTTTTTTTTAGCAAAAATAAAAAAGAAGGTCACGTGACCAATGGTGGCACCCTCATACCTGCTGCTTATATTTTAAATCAGAAATAATATTGGATTTCATCTCTCATGACAGTTCTGAGAATTAATAGTAACCACTTGGAGTACAGATTTGGGGAGTTCAGCAAAAACATACATCAGTCATTGGTTCATAGAAACAAGAGAATCTGATAGATGAGAACTGTGAAGACTCTTGCCCAGAACGTAGAAATGTTCATTGTTCTCTGTGCACTAGGTTTTGCAATTTGAAAGGTTCTTTCAAAAGTAGAAAAATGAATAGAATTCCAACTGATTATATCTCATCACACTTCCTTGCACCAAAGTGCATGTGACTCTTTGACATGGTTTTTTTGTGTTTTGTTTTTGTCTCCTAGAGCCTGAGGGATCTGATGATTGTGACAAACACTCAGACTCACCCGGGGCCAAAAGAGATAGTAGGTCCGGAAGCTGAAGCATTCTTAGCTTATTCTTTTTCATGCTTCCCTCAACCCTGCCCTGCACTTTGGGGATCTCTTGTCTGTTTTCATTAAGAGATGTTTTTACTGTATTAATAGTTCTATCAGTTTAATCCTGTATAATAAAGGCTAATATGCAAATTGACTGAATAGCTTTGTGGTCAGCAAACTGTGGCTCTTTGGCCCTTTGAGTGTGGCTCTTCCACAAAATACCACAGCCTGGGCGAGTCTATTTTGAAGAAGTGGTGTTAGAAGAAGTTTAAATTTAAAAAATTTGGCTCGCAAAAGAAATTTCAATCGTTGCACTGTTGATATTTGGCTCTGTTGATTAATGAGTTTGCCTACCACTGGAATAGCTGAATGATCAATTGCTATGATGTGCGCTGACCACCAGGGGGCAGACGCTCAACACAAGAACTGCCCCCTGATGGTCAGCGTGCTCCCACAGGGGGAGCGCTGCTCAGCCAGAAGCCGTGCAGTGGTGGTGGTGGGAGCCTTGCTAAGGACATCCCCCAAGGGCTCCCAGACTGCGAGAGGGCACAGGCCAGGCTAAGGGACCCCCTCACCACCCCAGCAAGTGCACAAATTTCATGTACCAGGCCTCTAGTGGTTTTATGATGAGTGAACAAGACTCATAGGATTCAATAAAAAATAACTTTAGTTATTTTTAAAATATATTCTATAGAACTGGTTCTTCTCTTGCTTCCCTGTCAAAAGCTGGGTAGACCCTATTAATATTCCCAGGTAACACCAATGGTACAGGTATGTGCATGATATGGGTGAGATTTTATATCGATGTTTGCATAAATGATTCTAAATAAACCAGCAGGCTCTTACTCTGTTATTGTATATTAATATCACTAAAATACCCCTTTTCCCAGGTCCTTCCTTGGCTTCCCATAGCCTCCCTTCACAGTGTCTCTCGTTTCCCCCCCTCATTTTCTCCCTAGTTTAGACCTTTTTGCTCACACACAAGCAGACACTCAGGCCCGAAGGATAAAATTTTCTGATCAGCTTTACTCTTATCCCCTATTCCTGTCCCACATTTTAAGAAATTCAGCATGGACCTGTCATGGGATCATATTAGCTTTATCAGTCAGATTTTTTTTTTTACTATAACCTAATGCTAATTCTATATAATAAAAGGGTAAATAATAGGTAAATTGACTTTCACTCTAACACACAAGATGACCACCCCCATGTGATCAAAGATGGCCACTCCCATGTGGACACAAGATGGCCAACAGGGAAGGGCAGTTGTGAGATATCAGGCCTACAAAGAAGCGGGGAGAGGGGCAGTTGGAGGTGACGAGGCCTGCAGGAGAGGGCAGTTAAGGGTGACTGGGCTGGCAGAGGAAGGCAATTGTGGGCAACCAAGGCCTGCAGGGGAGGACAGTTAGGAGTGACTAGGCCAGCAGGGGAAGGTAGTTAGAGGTGACCAGGTTGGCAGGGAAGGGCAGTTAGAGGCAATCGGGCTGGCAGGAGAGTGGTTAGGGGGTGATCAGGCTGGCAGGCAGAAACAGTTAAGGGCAATCAGGCAGGCAGGCGAGTAGTTGGGAGCCAGCAGTCCTGGATTGTGAGAGGGATGGCTGCCTGGATTGGGCCTAAACAGGCAGTCAGACATCACTTGAGGGGTCCTAGATTGGAGAGGATGAAAGCTGCTCCCTGCACAAATTTCTTACACTGGGCCTTTAGTTTAATTATAAAACATTAAGAGAATAAAGGTCATTTCTTCCCACAAATTTTATTTTATTTTTAATATTCTTTTAAAAAAATATGTTTCTATTGATTTCAGAGAGAGAAAAAAAGAGAGGAATAGGGAGAAACATCCATTATATCTCAAACATGCCCTATACTGGGGATTAAGCCTGCAACCCAGGCATGTGCCTTAAGGGGGAACTGAACCAGTAACCTCTTAGTTCATGGGTCGAGGCTACACTGCGCTACACCGGATTCAAATTAAAATGTGGGAAGTCCATAGGTAGAAGTACACAGAAATTAACTGAAAAAATTCAAAGAAGTTGAAGCTATTTTTGCTTTAATCATTCTCTGATTCTCTTGCTCTGGTTTAGATGGCACAGTCACTAGAATCCTATTGTTTTTTACTTGTAAGTTACTCCAGAGACAAGGTTAGTCTCATGTTCTCTTTTGGTTCAACATTTTATTTTTATTGAAAAACGTACATTTTACTATTTGTTTGTTTGTTTATTTAATTGATATTTTTTCCAGAGAAGAAGGGAGAGGGATAGAGAGTTAGAAACATTGATACATTGATCAGCTGCCTCCTACACAATTCCTACTGGGGATGTGCCTACAACCAAGGTACATACCTTTGACCAGAATCAAACCTGGGACCCTTTCATTAATCAGCAGGCAGACACTCTATGAACTGAGCCAAACCAGTTAGGGTGAAAAACGTAAATTTAAAATAGTACATTGTCTTGTTTGGTTCTTAATGCATGTGATTAGATATAATATTGTTAAAACTACTTAAAAATATATATACCAACAGAATTGTGCTGTTTTTATTCTTTATTTTAAAAAGACAACTTAGTATAAGAACATTCTCTGAACATACAAGCAGGTTAAGATTAAATTTTTTAAAATTTATTAAAAAAATAATTTTAAGTCAGCAGGCCAGAAATGTACATAATGTTCCTCACTTATTATCTATCATGCAGCAGTGGAAAGCCACATGAATTTTTACTAATGTGGAAGTAGAAAGTCACAGGAAGGTAATTATTATTATTTTTTTAATACTGCTATTTATGTTTCATTATAAATGAGTGATAGCTGTGTAGGCACAAAGCCTTAGTCTCACATCTAGAAATTTCTTTTAAATTATTTAAAACAAGTTTCAAAACCTTCTTAATAAGAAAACCTAGGACTGGATGGATTAAAGAATTTAACTGGGAACACTAAAAAAGAATGCAACAGCAACCCATTGAAATATTCACCTGCATGTCAAGTTCACACATCTTGTTGCATTTACAGAGTTAAGTTTCTTTTGCAAGGAGAAGTCATGGATTCTTTTCTTTCTCAAGATTCTCTGACCCATTTACATAAGCACTAGTAACTCTTCCAGGGGAACACAATGAATGCATCATAGAGTGGCCTGGAGAGGTTAACGCTGTAACATCAGAAAAATTTAAATGAGCCGTTTATATATATGTAACATTTCACTTTTTTAAAATGGGAAAAACTTTTTGTATTGATTTATGCATTAAAGGATGAATGTAAGTGTCATTTTATATATCTATGTCGATGCCTATGCCTGTGCACACATGTGTCTTTATGTATATATGTATGTATGTATGCAAGGCATTTATTTCCAAGTACACACTTTATTATTGTGACTAAAAATATCATCACCATTAGTGCATTAGCATATCTTGCTTGTTCAGTAATGAAGGAAATTGTAGGATTTTATTTAAAATGAAAATAGATTCAGAAGTTTAGAATGCAAACAAAACTTAGATTTTACCTATAATATTACAAGCCTTTCATTTGATAGCACAATTATTAAAATACAATAGAAGAGAATTCCAAGTCAATTAACTATAAAAATTATGTTAACACACAAAAGCAACTACTTGAAAGAAACTATTTGTTCTTCATTTTGAAATATTAACAAGTACAGGCATTTTCCATCATTGAGTCAAAGGGCTCTTTAGGATGGACTTTTCATCCTGAAATTGTACAATTTAGGAATGTATACAATTTATTGTTCAGATTACATGTTAACTTTTCACTTGACTGAAGTCTCATATCTTTTAGTTCTTCCAAAATTTGGCTTGGTGAGCAGATTCTCATTGGTTATATTTCTGTAGAAGAATTATAAAAGGGGAAAAAATAGTATAAGGCGTAGTTATATTTAAATACAACAGAAAATTAATTCATAAAAAGAAATTTCAGAATTCTACATTCTTAGTGTTGTTCTTACATATAATTGTTGGGAAATGAAAGAAATTTCCCTTCAGACTAGATTTACTAGAGTTATGTGCAAAGATACAGAATTTCTTAGAAAATCTATCCTAAATGCTTTAGGTAAGAAACAAACATAATTGCTCTGCTCCTAGTTTCTACAGAGATGAGAAATTAACATAGAACTTGTGCAGGGGAAGAATATAGTGGGAAGGCAGTAAGTGATAAGTAAGTTGAATTACATATGTGTAACTTCAGAAAGTTAAGGTGAGCCCTGCTGGTTGAGCATCAACCTATGAACCAGGAGGTTGTGGTTCGATTTCTCTCTCTCTCTCTCTCTCTCTCTCTCTCTCTCTCTCTCTCTCTCTCTCTTTTTAATTGATTTTTTTACAGAGAGGGAGAGAGAGGGATAGAGAGTTAGAAACCTCGATGAGAGAGAATCATCGATCAGCTGCCTCTTGCATACCCCCTACTGGGGATATGCCCGCAACCAAGGTATTTTCCATTGACCAGAATCGAACCTGGGACCTTTCAGTCCCCAGGCTGATGCTCTATCCACTGAGCCAAACCGGTTTTGGCAACAATTCTCTCTTATCACTGCTGTTTCTCTCTCTCTCTCTCTCTCTCTCTCTCTCTCTCTCTCTCTCTCTCTCTCTCTCTCTCTCTCCCCCCTTTCCTCTCTGAAGTCAATAAAAAACATTTTTATTTTTATGATTTCCAAAGTCTAGAAAACCTAGTGAGTCCTTTGAAGGTAGGGACTTGGTCCAGGGTTAAAACTAAAAGCTGAACATTTACAGAACCTTGGTTATGCCATGATGTATGATAATCATAGGAAAATCTTCCATCGTTGCAGAATTAGATCCTTTCCTTTGAGTGCTGAAGCCCATTCCACAGAGACTTGATCTTGGTGGACATCTCCCAAAATAGATGCCACTCGGGTTTATGCTTCAGGCAAAGTTTAATAGGCACTAGATATTTAATTAGTAAGGTTATCTAAGAGGCCACTATGAATGAAATACATGAAACTGAGTTGGTATTTTAATAAATATTCGAGACAGCAGCCACTGTTCAGCTCTTATGAATTGCTCTCATGTTCTCTGTAAGGGAGTACCACCATCTGGGTGTTCTTTAATGTAAAAATCTCCCACTTAAAAAAAAAAAGTCTTTTTTTAAAACATATTTTATTGATTTTTTACAGAGAGGAAGGGAGAGGGATAGAGAGTTAGAAACATCGGATGAGAGAGAAACATTGGCCAGTTGCCTCCTGCACATCTGCTACTGGGGATGTGCCCGCAACCAAGGTACATGCCCCTGATGGAATCAAACCTGAGACCCTTCAGTCCGCAGGCTGATGCTCTATCCACTGAGCCAAACCAGTTTCGGCGTAAAAATCTCCCACTTTTTAAGGCTGGCAATAAACACTCTTTTAAAAAACAACACGACATAAGGGAATAGTATTCTAAACGACAGACAAACTGTACCCAGAGTTCTCCACATGTTGTGTATTTACTTTGCAACTGAAAGAGAAAATGAAAACTATGGCCATGAACTGTTCTAGATGCTGTAGTTCATGTATTCCTCATGAAACTCTACATGATTGACTCTATCATTATGTCCCTATTAAATTATCTTTGTGTTGACTATCATTATCTCCACATGAGTAACTTGCTCAAGGTTTTAAGTGTTGAAATATGGACTCAAATTCAGGTGTGGCTTCAGATCAGGGGCTCCTTGATATAACTTTATAGTTTGGGAAGTAAGTGCACTGAAGAGTTTTGTTTTTGCGTTACATACAGCAAGCATGTCAACCTTGTGGCCCGCTGGCTGTGAATTTGACATGCTTGACTTACAGCATTTGTGTTGCTTTTCTTAGAAAAAAAAAAGATCCTTTATGCTTTGTCTAGTCTTGCTCAATAGTAAGAGCATTGGACTGAATGCTCAAGCGTTTGATTTCTGGTGAAGGGCATGCTCAGTTGCAGGTTCTCCAGCCCTGGTAGGGGCCTGCTCGGAAGTCAACCAATTGATGTCTCTCTCTCACATTAATGTTTCTCTTTCTTTATCTCTCTCTCCACAGCCTATCACCCAGCAGAGGAAGGCCCTGACCACTGGCTGAGGCTTGCGATTGATCGCTCTGCAGAGGGAGGCCCAGGCCACTGGCCGGCGGGGCAATTGATTGGGGGCGAGGGGTGGGGGTGGCTTCGTGATCACCCCAAAGAGAGAGGCCCAGGCCACCCTCTGCACAGCAATGGATCGTGGAGCCCCGATTGGGTGGGTGGGGCCTCTCTCTGTGGAGCCATTGATCTGGGGGCCCCACAATCGATTGCTCCACAGAGGGAGGCTCAGCCAGCCAAGTGATCTTACCCCATGCCTGTCGCCTACAGAGAGAGGTGACCAGTGGGGGGAGGTGGGAGGGCAGTGCTGCACAGAGATGGCAAGCAGTGGCAACCAGGAGAAGGATAGGCCCTGATTCCCGGCCATGCCTAGGGACCCTATCTGAGGGGTCCTGGATTGCAAGAGGGCACAGGCAGGGATGAGAGACAACCTTCCTCCTCCTGTGCACGAATTTTGTGCACCGGGCCTCTAGTAGAATATAAATGAATTCCAGTTGGGCACACCCTTCCCAAATCAGAAAGATGTAATTCATTAATTTATTTCCCTTCCCCAATAGGCAATAAGGATAGTAACACCAACCTGGATTTCTTGTTTCTACAGAACTTAAAGGAGCGTCTGTGTCATGTGAGAATGTGGGCTCCACATTAAGCGAACGTTTCTATAAGTAAAAGGCAAAAAAATATTAATGTCAAAATTTTCTAAACTTAAGACACTATAAAGAAAAATATCTCAGATGAAAAAATTTTTTTTGGCTAAAGTTATTCTCTTTGTAAATCACTTTGTAGAGTCCTCCCCCCCCCCTCTTTTTAGAAAGGTCATTATTTCATAGGTACTTATGAACTTTTATAAACTTGTATTTCTAAATAGTAAAATACTATTTGTCATTTTCATAGCTGAATTATTACTTCAAACATTGACTGTCTTATTTCCCTGCTTTAATAAAAAGCTAAAATGGATTACTATTTTATAAAGAGATAAAAATCTCTTAGACATACTGACCAATTCTACTACACTCATGTAGAAGATTTTCTCTGAATTTTGTCAACTAGGTATTTCATTGACTTTTTCAGATTTTAGATCATCAACTAAGAAAAGACAAAAACATACTTTGTCATATATGCTCAAACACAAAAAGAAAATCTCTTTTATATTTATTTTGCAGACAAGAAGACTGCCTGTATTCAAATCTTCACTTATATTAGTCAAACACTCCTTTAATTTACTTTTGTTAAGAAAGTGTTATTTAGAGAAGATCCATTTACATGGAGTAATGACAATAAGGCATAACTTTAGGTGGTTAAGTCACATTAAAGAAGTAGTTCAAAGAAGAAAAGGGCAAAGGAATTTAGTGTAGATTTACCGTCAATCTTGCTATAGCTTCCCCATTGCAGTGTTGTTACCCCATTAAACAAACCTTTTAAAATTTTATTTATTTATTTAAAACATTGATTATACAGAGAGGAAGAGTGAGAGAGATAGAGAGACCAGAGAGAGAGAGCATTAATCAGCCACCTCCCACAGGTGTCCCGACTGGGGATTGAACCTGAAACCTGGGTACGTGCTCTGACTGGGAACCCCCCTTTTGTTGTACTGGACAATGCTCCAAATCAATTGGCGTGTTGTGTGTTCGATTCCCAGTCAGGCCTTTGGGAGGTGGCCAACCGATGTTTGCTTCTCACGCTGGTATTTCTCTCTCCTTCCTCTCCTTCTCCCTCTCCTTCTCTCTAAACCAATAAACCAAAAAATCCCCAATAGCCTCAGGAAAGGATTGAAAACAAAACAAAAACCAAACTAAATTCTCACCTTAGTTAGCTTGCCAATAACATAAGCAAAAAGGAGTATAATTCCAATGATACCAGCCAACACCCCCAAAATAATGACTATTATCACTATGGGAGAAAAAGAGAGCATAAAATTACAAAACTGTGACATAAATGACTGCATATCAATGAAAGAAACATTAATATACTTTATCTTTCAAAAAATAAGACAGCCGGGGGAAGGTCAATGGGGAAAAAAAGAGACATATGTACTACTCTTTTTTTTTTTAAATTTATTTTATTGATTTTTTACAGAGAGGAAGAGAGAGGGGTAGAAAATTAGAAACATCGATGAGAGAGAATCATCGATTAGCTGCCTCTTGCACACCCCCACTGGGGCTGTGCCGGCAACCAAGGTTCATGTCCTTGACCGGAATCGAACCCAGGACCTTTCAGTCCACAGGCTGACGCTCTATCTACCGAGCCAAACCGGTTTCGGCTGTACTACTCTTTATAATACTTTAAACAACAAACAAACAAACAAACAAACAGAATGTAAATATACTTTATCTTTTAAAAAACAAGGTTTCCAAAGTAACCACATGAGAAACTGAACCTGTGGATAGTAAAGTCTTTTGTTCAAGGACACACATCTGACAGAACCAAGACCCCAGGCTCCAACTCCAAATTCAGGGCTCTTCACAGGGCCTTACAGGCGACCATGGATGGCAGCTGTGTGGATGTTCTGCCCCGATATGGGAAAAATCGTGAAGTGTTTCTTAGGATCAAAGTGACGAGAGAAAATAATGTCTTGACATAGAACGGGGTATTGGACAGATCATAGAATCAGAACTTCGGAAGGAAACTGGTATAAGCAGTTTGCAAATGAAGAGAAGAAGCCCAGTGAGTTTAAGTTACTTATCCTAGGTGAGACAACTAGTTAGAAGTTACGTGACCATAATTCAGGTCACCTAGATTCTAAGCTTCTGGTCCTTCTACATTATCTCTATGCATACTCTATAATATACTCACTAAAAAGATTTTTTCCCAAATCTTACATGTGGGGAAGGAAACAAAGTTTATATTAGTGGTACTCTCACATATTCATAGCATATTTATAGAGATTCCAAATTAAGTAAATAGAAGGCAAAACATATAGGTAAATGGCTTATTTATTTGGCTAGTTTATACTTAAAAGTCTTACTATTGATTAAAAGAAAATGAAGTAAAAGCCCAGCTTTTCTGTCCACTTAGCTTTAATGCAATAGTGATTCAGTTCCACAATTCATTGTGTGTGTGTGTGTGTGTGTGTGTGTGTGTGTGTGTGTGTGTGAGAGAGAGAGAGAGAGAGAGAGAGAGAGAGAGAGAGAGAGAGAGAGAGAGAGAGAGAGAGAAAGAGAGGTTTGGACACAGGTCAAGCGTGAAGGGCAGCTCAAAAATGCAGACTAGTAAATCAGCACATAAATGACTAATGTGAGATCTACAGCAGCATATAAGAAAGAAAGTGACAGTCCCCAGGTATAGAGGGTTTGGAAGACAGCCCCAAAGTGGTAGCATAGGGCCAAAAATGAATAGAGATTGAGACATGAATGGTCTGTATTTATTTTTGATAAGAGTCAATTAATGAGATGACTTAAAACTCTTTGCTTTCTTCATGGTAGGTATAAAAGAAATTCAATTGTTTTATGAGCTCTTAAGAGACTTTTCTCTAGTAACTACGGTGGTTAGAAAACTAAAAAAGTCTAACTTAAGATAGAAATTATTGTTGCCCTAGCCAGTTTGCTCAGTGGATAGAGCATCGGTTGGCCTGGGGACTGAAAGGTCCCGGGTTCGATTCTGGTCAAGGGCATATGCCTGGGTTGTGGGCTCAATCCCCTCTAGGGGCATGCATGAGGCAGCTGATCAATGATTCTCTCCCTTTTTCTTCCTCTCTGAAATAAAAATATATATATATATATAAAAGTAGAAAAAATATTATCAAGTTATGTATTGCTAGTTCCAAAATGTTTAAGAAAATAAGAAATGCCTATTTTAACTTTAAAAAGAGCATATATTGTTTGCCTTTATAATATTGTGTGATTAAAATTAATTACATATGCTTTTGTTTTAAAATTTGATGCTTCTTATTTTTTTAGGCATTTGGAACTAGGAATACATAATTAAACTGGAAAGATTGTTAGTCCATGTAAATATTAACATACCTGGTTCTGAGAACATGTGCTGAAGTTGTCTTCTTGCTCCTAAAAAGACAAAATTTAAAAATAAATCAGAATGCATAAGTTACCACGTGTAAAAAATACCATTTTGGAATTAGATTACTTAGTGTGTTTCTTTTTAAAAAATTATGTTAGTGAGCTATTGTTCAAATTTTAACTGCTGCTAAAACTTATAAGATACTGTCTTACTACTAATAATTCCATATCTACTTTCAACTACCCAACAAGCTTTTAAGGTCAGAAATTAACAAGCAGTCTTATTGACTGAAGTGTAGGGTATTACAAAATATTGAAAGAACTATCTACTGAGTTCCACAAGAAATAGTGGATTAAAAATAAAAAATTAAAAATAGCCTTGGCCAGGTGGCTCATTTGGTTGGAGTGTCGTCCCGTACGCCAAAAGGTGACGGGTGTCATTCCCAAATGGGACTTGAATGAGAGGCAACTGATTCATGTTTTCTCTCTCAAATCAATAAAAACATGTCCTTAGGTGAGGATAAAAAGAAGGTAAAAATAAAATACTAAAAAAAAAATTATTTCAAATGTAAAAATGGTGAACAGAAAGGAGGTGCATTGAGCTATCACCCCACATGAACTTCAGTCGAACCCAAAAGAGGTCACATTGCTATCAATTTTCCAAATTTATGCCAGTCACTAATTGAATCCAAACCCCTTTTGTGTCTCCTCCGAGCTTTTGTCAACATCCCCCTAAATGCTTTGTCTGCAGAAGTTCCCAGTACAGTTGCCCTAATGCTTCGCCAGTTACCTCCCCCTTATCAGTCCACAGTTTACATTTCTCTTTCTGTACCATTTTATCACAAAGCCCTCTTCCTACTGCAACCACACTATTTTCCTGCACTTAGTTATTACCAATAACATACACTGAGTGGCCAGATTATTATGATCTCTGAACGCACAATAATCTGGCCACTCAGTGTATTTCCTATATAATTCTATATAATAAAGGCTAATATGCAAATTGTCCCCTCGACCAGGAGTTTGACCAGCAGGCAAGCTGGCTAACCATCCATGTCACCTCCCCCTGGCCAGGCTGGCCAGACCCCATCCATGGATGAATCCATTGGGTCACTAATATCTACACTAATAAAAGAGAAACATGCAAATTGACCAAACCTCTGCTATACCCACCAGCCAGCAGGAGCAAGTATGCAAATTAACCTAACCAAGATGGCTGAAGCCACAAAAGGAGCAGGAGGCTTGGGTTACCCCGGCAATGGGAGAAGCCAAGCTTCCTGCCCTGTCCTGTCCTGGTCTCCACTCAAGGCTACAAAGTTTCAATTATAGAAAATAAATAAATCCCAACAAAAATGGTGGTAGCCATGGAGCTGGAGAGAGCAGGAGGCTTGGGTTGCCACCAGCGATGTAGGAAGCCAAGCTTCCTGCCTTGCCTGGGCTGGCTTGACCTCTGCTCCAGGCTACAAAGTTTCAATTATAGAAGATAAATAAATCCCAGATACCAGGGCTTCTGCTTGGGTTGTCAGGGGGTGTGGTCGGCCTGCAAACCACCACAGGCCCCTCACCCAGGCTGCCCCATGCCCCAAGAGAATCCCCACCCTGATCCGGGACACCTTTCAGGGCAAACCTGCTAGACCCCACCCATGCACTAGGCCTCTATCTTATTGAATAAAAGAGTAATATGCAGATTGACCATCCAACATACAAGATGGCTGCCCCCATGTGGTCAAAGATTTTGCCCCCATGTGGACACAAGATGGTCACCAGAGATGGTCAGCAGGGGAGGGCAGTTGGGAGGGACCAGGCCTGCAAGGGAGGGCAATTGGGGGTGATCATGCCTGCAGGGAGGGATACAGTTAGGGGTGATTAGGCCAGCAAAAGAGGGAAGTTGGGGGTGACTGGCCTGCAGGGAATGGCAGTTGGGGGGAGACCAGGCCTGCAGGGGAGGGCAGTTAGGGGTGACCATGCCTGCAGAGGAGGGCAGTTAGGGAAATCAGACTGGCAGGGGAGCAGTTAGGCATCAATCAGGTTGGCAGGGGACTGGTTAGGAGGTGATCAGGCTGGCAGGCAGAAGTTGTCTACTAATTAGTAGAGGCAACTGATTCATGTTTTCTCTCTCAAATCAATAAAAACATGTCCTTAAAGTGAGGATAAAAAGAAGGATAAAAATACAGACCATAGGCAGGAAGGTGAGCAGTTGGGAGCCAGCAGTCCTGGATTGTGAGAGGGATGTACGACTGCCTGTTTTGGGATTAGGCCTAAACAGGCAGTCAAACATCCCTCGAGGGGTCCCAGATTGGAGAGGGTGCAGGCTGAGCTGAGCAACACCCCCTCCCTTGTGTTGAATTTCATGTACCAGGCCTCTAGCATGCATATATCCTATATAATAAAAGCCTAATATTTAAATGTCCGAACATCAGAATGACCAGTTGCTATGATGTTCACTGAACACCAGGGGGCAGATGCTCAATGCAGGAGCAGCTCTCAGCCCTTAGGCCCTAGGCCAGTCAAGGCGGGTGCCAGCGGGAGGGCCCCTAGTCTCCCCACCAGTTGCCCTGCAGAGGGAGGTGACTGGCAGTGGTAGGGGGCTGGGGCCGACAAGTGGGCAGCACCAGGCCAGCCAAGACACGTGCCAGCAGGGGGACCCCGATTGTCCTGCAGTAGCCCTGATCATTTGCCAGGCCTAGGGACCCTGGTATGTATGTGTGTGTATATACATACACACACTAGAGGGCATACACACACACACACACACACACACACACACAGAGGGTATATATCTACACACACACACACACACACACACACACACACACACACACTGAGTGGCCAGATTATTGTGTGTTCACAGATCATAAAAATCTGGCCACTCAGCGTATTGCAGTGTATTACTCCACATTGCCCAGGTCTCGGTTATGTCTGCTCATTCTGGAGAAGTCATTTATAAAGGTTTACTGGGGCTTGTCTTCTTCTCTATGGCAGGTACAGCTGTGGTTGGTGGATGAACTGTGGAGGAGAACAGATGGGGTTTCAGCCTCTCACTATCTGGGCGGCCTTGGATCTGTTATGTAATCTCTTTGTGCTTTGGTTTCCTCTTGAGCAAATGAAGATGGTAATACCTATCTCTTTGGGTTCCTACAAGGATCGAACGAGGTAGTGCATGAAAACTCTTAGCACAAGGCCCACCGCGCTACCTGTTGTTTATAGGATTCACGGCAGGAAGTGTGTGTGTCTGCAGTTGGCCTTTAAATGCTGATTTGACACCACCACATTGACTTCATGTCCGAAAACTGGGCTGTTTAATTGGACTCAGAAGCCCGATAATTAGTTCCAAGCACTTAGCATAATTTTCCTCTCTTGGTCTTTGTTAAAATGTGTTGCTTCCATTTATCTTGGTATATTTTCTCAATGATACTATTAGCCAATGATCCTGTAGCCACTTTAAAGTCTTCTTTGGGGCCTTATTTTAAATCTGGAGTGTCCTGCTTTGATCCCCATCTACAAGGACCCTCTTTCATTCAACCTGCTCTTGTCAAGTCATCCTCTCCCCAGAGAGGTCACCAGGGAGTGGATGCCGCCAGACCACCCTTATCTCAGCACCCAGCTTGGCTTATAGTGATAGCGACGAGGCACTTCTAATGTGTCAGGCTCCAAGCTGAGCAATTGTACACACATCTTCATCTTTAGAGAAACACCACGAGACAACTATGACGGGCCCCATTAAAAAATTTAGGGGACAGAGACCCCTTGGGGAAGCATCTCCCTGGGTCAGCAGCCTGGATAGCAGAGCCGCACCCGGATTCACCACATCCCTCCTTCCCACCGCATCTGTGCTCCCTCCATGTGGTCCCGTTTCACAGTCACATGCTTTTGTTGGATTGCTTCATGCCTTTAACCCACATGTGTCAAACACAAGGCCCTCGGGCCAAATCTGTCCCGCCAGGCCTTGCAATGTGGCCCGCACCGTGCTGTCATCACTGCACTCCGCTGCGTTTCCATCACAATGACAGTTTATGACTGTTCAGTAAACCATTCGGCCCGCGATTTAGGCTGGATTTTAGATTTTGGCCCCTTCTCTGATTGAGTTCGACACCCCTACTTTAACCCAATATATTGTTTCTGTGAGATATTCCAGAAGTGAGGCCCTTTGGAAGTATAGCGAGTGTGTCTATTTATTAGCTTTCGTTTCTTAGACTTTGTCACAGTTTCCTTGCACTGACAGGTCCCATGAAATACTGTTGTGTCATAACAATGACTCCAGGGCAACTATTTAAAAATATGGACAAACCTGTTATGCCGGGTTCATCTCTAGGGATTTTCACTGTTCTTGCATTAGCAGGAGTAGGGTCATTTGCTGAATAGGACACTAAGGGATACTCACCTGTATAAAACAGGGGTTGAGAAAGGCATTAAGAGTGAGCACAAAGCACAGAGCACATCACAAAAGACAAATCTATCCCACGTCTCTCCCACATGCATAGCATTTTACATAACTGGGGGACATTGTCTATGTTCCGTGCCTCCCTCACTCCATTTTTCCAGAAACAGTCCTATTTCCTCAGTAAAAATTAAAACAAAGACTTTAAATTCAATTTTCTCTGGCCGCACAGCAGGTAAATCAGTTCTAAGGTTCCTTACTCACCCTTCCTTTCTTTCTTTCTACATCCTCAGGGACTGAAGCTACTTTCAAATGTCAAGGTAAAGAAATGAAAATTCCACAGTGCGTACCCCCAGCAACCACGAGTGTTCTAACACTGCCTTTCATAGCCGGAGCCCTCACGGCCATCTGGGCCTCCCAGGTTTCTCAGGCCCTAATCAGCTCATAGACATCTGTGGGTATAGTTATGCAAAGTTGTGAAATTTCTCTTGAATAAGTGGATTTTAAACAGGGCTCTTTTACAATGGACTCTTTAGTTGGGTCTACTTGGTAGAAAAGATCCAAGTAAACTTGTAACCATTAAACAACAGGTGTGGTTTGCCTAATCCCCCCCCTCCCCCCTCTCTCTCTCTTGTGCTCTGAGCCCTAGCTTTCTGTAGCTAGATCAGCTTTCACTGTCTGTTTGCACTGTTTTCAGATTATAGGTTAATTTAAATATTGTCCTATTTTATTCACAATGTACTTTCATGTTTTACATTACAAGGACACTTGGAACTTTAAATCCAACTTCCTTATCGTGCAAATAAGAAATTTGATATCATCAAAATTAAATGATTAGCTCAGGTTAACACACCTGGTAAGGACAGAAACAGAGCCTTAATTCTGCTGGCTCCCAACGTTATTCCCACCTCCCGGATCTCTGCCTGATGGAGGTCTTGTCAGCAAGCTTCCTTTGATGTTTTAGCTTACATTTAAATTGGTGAGCACTGGGGTGCGTTGTAAACAAAACAAGACAAGTAAATTTCTTGAGAGGTTCCAGAATTCTAATAATAATTAGATGGTTTTCATGTTGATGACTTTTCACACCAATTTATTGTGCTATGTACATCACAGCTCTTAGCCCTCAGTGTCCTCTTGCTACTGAAACTGTTTTCTGCCCTAGCACTATTGACATGTGGGTTGTTTTCTTACTCCCTTCACCCCTTCTAACAAGGACACAGCCATTCTATACCTGAAAAATGCCACCCCTCTCTCCAGGAAAGGTATGTTGACCTTTGGGTCCAGCATCTTGCTACCCAGCACCGGGTAGGCTGTGGGACAGCACTGCATATTTCCTCAGCTGCTCTGGGCTCTGAAAACTGACTCTATCCTATTTGCAATGAAGCAATGAAGGGAGGGTAGAGTTTTTAGTGAAAAGTGGAGGAGGGGGATTTGAGGTAAAGAAAGGGCCTGGGTTTAACAGGGAGAAAGGAGAGGATTTGTGCATTCATGCGGAGGCCAGGGAGTAGTGTGCAGGCAAAGGTAGGCAAACCTCTCAGGTTGACAAGAGTTTGATGTTCACCTGGAAAATTAGTGTAAATTAAGATAGAAGGGAAGTTTTGGCAAGGCCTCAGACCTCTAGTTTAAAAATCCCTTTTTCATTCCCTAGACACTAAAATGCCATTTGCTGCCGAAACTGGTTTGGCTCAGCGGATAGAGCATCGGCCTGCAGACTGAAAGGTCCCAGGTTCGATGCCGGTCAGGGACATGTACTTGGTTGCGGGCACATCCCCAGTGGGGGGTGTGCAAGAGGCAGCTGATCGATGATTCCCTCTCATCGATGTTTCTGACTCTCTATCCCTCTCTCTTCCTCTCTATAAAAAATCGATAAAATATATTTTTAAAAATAAAATAAAACAAAATGCCATTTGCTATGGTGCTTTGCACAAAGCACATATTTGTGACCTGAACTGAATGCCAAAATTTTAAGTTTGAGAAGGGTGGGATGAATGAATGAACGAATGGAGGAATGAATGACTACACCACCCAGAATAGGAAATATTCCAAATGTGCATGGTTTACAGTTTACATTTGCATAACATTTAATTTGTTCCAAAACATTCACCTCTTTCCTCTCATCTGCACTGCCCTGACCTCCCAGTTGCTCGGCAAGATTCTGACAGCCTGCGAGGTCGGTGTGTCGGGGGAGGGCGCTGCCACCGCTCCTCCTTCCCCCCGGAGGTTGGGCAACTCGGGGGTCCAGAACACATGTGATACAATTGGGACTAGAAGGCTAGCCTCCCACCATTCTACTCTGTGCTCTACCCACGAAACCACCCGGCTTTCCCCAGCAGGGGGCACTTCTGACGTGGACCGTTATTAGAAAGAACAGCAGTAAAAGGCAATGCTGGGCGAGAACCCTGCAGGTCTGCTCTGTGCCAGGAGCTGGGCTCCTGCCACAACGTGATAAGTCAGCTCACGCAGCCGCTGGCGTGGTTTTGGTTCCCTCCTGACTTGCCGTTGATAAAAGTGTTATCTCGCAAAAGCAAACTCTTACAAGGAAACACCCTGTCTATGAAATATTTGCCTTAAATAGTTTCCAAGTCAGAAAACTAAATGTTTGGAGTGTTATAGTTTTGGGCATTGTGATGACCGTGAAATCTGATCAATTTATTTGCGGAAGTTCTGCACTGGGGCAAAAACTCGCACCCGCTGATTTTCAATCAATGCTTTTTTTTTTCTCCTGCTGAACCGCGCGGTGTTATACCAAATGCATGTGTGAATGGGGATCTTGCCTGTTCCAGACAGTGTTTGGAGAAGGCTATTGCTGTGAAGTAATATTTTAAGGGAAACATTCTGTTTTGCTGTTGAACTAAAGGCTGAAAAAGTCAGGCTAGGTCAAGATGGGATAATAAAATCGTATGTCCATCTGTCTGCTGTCATTCAGTTTGCATTTTTAGAAGGGTTTTATTAAGCTACAATAGCCACTTAAAATTTAGAACAATTGAACTTTATAATAGATTAAGTGTTTGGTGTGATAACATTTGAACGTAGCCTTTGTTGACTTTTCTCCATGGCTTTAAAATATTTTCAAATAAAAATTTTGGGAAAAGAAATACAATAATATAGTGTATCATATTCATGTGTACACATAGAAAATATTCTTTTTACCTCTTCTATAGTTATTGTTATTATTATTTGATTAATCCTCACCCAAGGATATTTTTTTCATTGACTTTTTTTTTTTTAGAGAGAGTACAAGGGAGAGGGAGAGACAGAGAGAAACATCAATGTGAGAGAGACACATTGATTGGTTGCCTCCTGCATGCACCCTGACCAGGGCCCAAGAACTTCAACCAAGGTACATGCCTTTGACCAGAATCAAATCTTCAGTCACCTGAAACATTCTATGCATTGAGCCAAATTGGCTAGGGCTTTTGCACTTATTCTTTTTTTTTTTTTTTAAACATCTCTTCTACTATAATTAAAATAGATGGCTACTTCTTCAAAATATTTTCCACACTTAAAATTTGCATTATTAGTGATTTATAAATTTTAAAAATAAAATGGGCAAAAATTTATTTATTAATAGCTTTTTGTAGCCAATACATATGTACTGTATATACACACAAATAAATTGCAGAAAAATTTTATGTATCACAAATATAGACATAAAGATCTTAATACAAATATTAAATGCAGTACACTATTAAAAGAATATTCTACAATAGCCTAGTGGTTTATGCCAAGATGGAAGTAGTGCAATATTATAATGTTCATTGATATGAATCATAATTTCAACATATTAAAGAATAAAAATACATTCATATGAAGAAAAGCAATTAGGATTAAAAGACATTCCTAAAGAAAGGAAACAGAAGCTTAAAAAGTGTTCCTGGCCTGGCAAGCATGGCTCAGTGGTTGAGCACTGACCTATGAATCAGGTTTAGCGCACATGGCCGGGTTGCAGCCTCCATTTCCAGCAGGGGGCGTGCAGGAGGTAGCTGACCAATGATTCTCTCTCATCATTGATGTTTCTATCTCTCTCCCTCTCCCTTCCCATCTGAAATCAATAAAAACATACTAAAACAAAAAGGAAAAGAAAGAAGAGCTCTTTATGGGTCACATTCAGCCTTTGTACTCATCTCCTGTAACCGTAACTTATGGCGGTTTCCATTCCAATTACAGATTTTCCACTTTACCTTTGTGCCACCCATGTCCTTAGGCACTGTGAATCCAGTGATACAAACATTTATCCAGTGACAGAGAAAAGGAGTTCTGGACTTCCACAAAACCAAACGTAAAGAGAGGGTCATGGCATATATTTTTTTTCACATCTTCATCAAAGAAAAATGAGAATTTGATGATGTTAATAGTTTTTACTGAATATTTTCTATGTACCAGGCACCATGCCAAGCTCTTTACCTAGGTTATTTGATTTTATCCTGATAACTTCAATATGGAGTAGGTATTATCCCCATTGCACAGACAGAAAAACAGAGAATCACAAAATTTAAAAATACAGTCTGTGGGCAGTGAAGCTAGATGCAAACCCAGGAGGTTTGACTGTAGAGTCCTCATTCTTAACCAACATTTTTACTTCCTTCCCCAAGAAAGGGTAACAATCCATCCCCCGCTCTGCTCTCCAGAAATCTTCACTGTTGACATTTTTGTGCAAATCTTTCAGATACTTTTTCTAGATATGTTTATAAATATATATTTAAAAATTACTCTGTGTAATATTCTGCAACCTGCCTTTTCCTCATTCAAAGAGCACTTTTGTCCATATTAGGGAAAACACTTGTAAAACATTTTAATGGCTTCATAATGTTGCATTTAATGCATAAACCATGGTTTATTTAACCTCTGTCATGCTTTTAATTACATAGGCTGTTCATGCTTAATATTCAACTTTTTAAAAATATATTTTTATTGATTTCAGAGAGGAAGGGAGAGAGAAATAGAAACATCAATGATGAGAGATGTTTCTATTAATCGGCTGTCCCCTACTAGGGATTGAGCCTGCAACCCAGGCAGGTGCCCTTGACCAGATTCGACACCCCCCCAACCCCCCCACTCTGGGACCCTTCAGTCTGCAGGCCAAAGTTCTATCCACTGAGTCAAACCAGCTAGGGCAAGAGGTCTCCTTTCAGATTCGACTGGAAGAAACTCAGCAGACTATCTTTAATCTGACTCCTTTTTATTTACTACTAAGGACCTAAACTTCTCTTCCCCGAGGCAGGAGCATTTGTTTTTCTTGTTCTACTTAATTCATTGATTCAATTTAAGAACACCTCTGTGGATTTATGCACGCCTCAGTGGAGAGAAACCCAGACCTCTTTGCTTTGGACCTTCAAAGCAAACTGCTGAGTTGGAGTCTGACCTAAAATGTTAAGGGGACCAGGTCCTCCAGGCCATGAGGGTCAGACCCCTTCTCCTGCTCTGTGCCCTAGGGATTCTGAGAGAAGAACTACCACAAAGTTCAATGCTTTGGGGCTTTCAATGCTTTTCAGCTCATTTACTTTTCTGAGAGAAGGATGGGCTTGAACACTGCCTGACTCCCACGATGTGATAGAAGTTTCCCAGTGAATGAAGTGAGCCAAGGCCCTATATGTGGCCATTTTCCCGATATTCTTAGCTACTGAAGCATGGTCTTTGGGGCTTGGGGAATCATATCAAGAACAAGCCATATGAAAAAAACAGGAGATGGGCCAAAACCGATTTGGCTCAGTGGATAGAATGTCAGCCTGTGGACTGAAAGGTCCCAGGCTTGATTCTGGTCAAGGGCATGTACCTTGGTTATGGGCAGCTGATTGATGTTTCTCTCTCATTGATGTTTCTAACTCTCTATCCCTCTCTCTTCCTCTCTGTAAAAAATCAATAAAATATATTAAACAAACAAACAAACAAATAAACCAGAAGATGGGATCCTTATTAATAATGGGTTATCACATGTTCACCATCACTTGTTGCTCTTTTCTCTACCAAATCCCTAACTCAGTTTCAGCATACACCATAACCCAGTGTTTGAGTAGTAGCAAACCGTGATGAAATGAACGCTGGTATCTTGGTTTTCCTCCACTAAAGTTTGTTGGCATTCTTTTTAAGAAGGAGATCTCTTAGGAAGCGGAGATTGTATTTGTTCAGTCCACTTGTAAAAATATTTTAAACTTTTCCTGATTACAAATTATGATTCTCTTGACAGAAAATTTAGAAAGTATTAAAAAGCAGGAAAAAAAAAAAAAAACACCCCAAAACATTCCCCACACCCAGAGATAACCCTGCGGTGTTTCTTCAGTATTTTTTCTTTAGTTTTAGTTTAGTTCATTTATCATAAGAAACTACACAGATAGGTACTTATTAAATGTATGGATATGGTGATAAAGGCTGGAAATCTATTACCCACTTGTAGGTTTAAAATTAAAACTTGAGAAATCTATTACCCACCTGTTGGATCTTCAACAGCCTTCTCTGTAGAAGTTGCGGGGTCGGCAGTTGATGTAAAAATATAACCTATAAGGACAAGTTGGGAAAATTACTTAAAATGTGCTTCTCAAATAGGTTCATAGATGTTTTCAATAACCCTCTAGAAACCAAACTAGAAAGAAGTTCATCACAAGTATGCTAATTTTGCAATTTAAAACCAGTATAAGTTAGCGGAGGCCAGTTTGGCTCAGTGGTAGAGCGTCGGTCTGCGGACCTAAGGGTCCCAGGTTCGATTCCGGTCAGGGGCATGTATGTTGGTTGCGGGCACATCCCCGGCAGGGGGTGTGCAGGAGGCAGCTGGTCGATGTTTCTCTCTCATTGACGTTTCTATCTCTCTATCTCTCTCCCTTCCTCTCTGTAAAAAATCAATAAAATATATTTAAAAAAATAATATAAAACCAGTATAAGTTAATTTCAAGATACCACCCATTCCTTCCCCTCTCTTAGGATTCCTCCTTCAAAGGAATTCACAGTCGAGTGCCCATTTCTTTCCAAAAGCCCAATTTCACACCAAGCTAAAGAGAAGTGTAGATTTGAGAACCACACTCTAGGCATCTCAGGCTGACCTTTGAGGACTCATTGAAGTGTAGAGATGAAAAGGGTTTTAGATGCCATCTATCCTGTACTTTATTTAATAGACACAAGGAAACTGAGGCCCACAGGGATCATTGATTTTGCACAGTTAAAGTAGCCCGCAGCAAAGTTCTGGTTATTTGTCATTTGTGCCACTATTACTTATTGAGTGCCTAGCAATGTGTGGGATACAAAAATGAAGACCCAGGTTGTAATTTTAAGAAATGTATAAAGTCTTGTGGTCCCTGACTCCCAACTTGGAACTCTGTCCTCTGAAAATTAAGTGGTCAGAAAGGCTCTTTTCTTGGGTCCCTGAAGAAAAAAAGCTGCCTTGTTTCTCTATGTCCTTCTAAGCACGTGCTTTCACACGGGTGTGCCTGCAGGTGTATGCAATACGATAGATGCACAGGTGATCATTGTCTACCTACCCGAGTTCTCATTTTGTGTAAAAAACAAAACAAAACAATATTCTCTTTTTGCCTTCTCTTCCCTCCCTCTACTTCCTTCCTTTGTTGATTTAACTAATATTCTACTACAGGTCATGAGTTGGGCTAGATTCTGGGGCAATGCCAATAAATAATACAGGCGTGATAATACTTATCCCTTTGGGTTTTCCAATTAAATCAGTATATTATGACCTAGAATTCAAATGTTGCATGATTTTTAAAACAAAATCAAGAAACATTGGAGGATGCTGGTTTGTGACATAATTTCCTAGTTGAAGTGATATAATACTGTATTCTCAAATTCTTAGCACCAGAAGCTGATTTTCAAACAAAAGCTTTGCCTTTCCTAGAACACACTGAGTTCTCTCCCATCTCAGAACTTTACCTTTCACTGCCCTTCCCCTCTGCCTTTCACTGCCCTTCCCCCAGATTTTGCAAGGTTGGCTTTTCTCACTGTTCAACTCTCAGCACAAATGTCACCTCCTAGAGAAAATTTCCTGCTACCCATTTCCAAAGCAGCCTCTGTGTTATGTTCATCATCTTAACCTGGTTTGATTTTCTTTGTTATTTTTTTAAAAATTATTTTATTATATTATTTTCTTCTTTTTTTTTGGTCAGTTATTTTAACAGGTTACTTGTTCTGTTAATTGTCTGTGGACTTTCCCACTGTTTCCCACAATTCCCTCACTGAATGTACCCTTCCCGGGAGCTCATTCGTCTTACTACTCTGGCCTGACATAGAACAACTGAATGAACAAATGAGGGAATGATTGGAAAGAAAAGCATTAGCAAAAAACTTACTCTCCATGAGGTAGATGATATTTAAGGCTAGAAACACTAGCTTTAGCCTTACCATGACTGGAGAAAGCAAACGCATCATTTCTTTCCCCCTTGCCAATGATGTTTACCCTTCCTCACATTTCCCAGGTTTCCTCTTCAACTAGAGTCAAGGGGGGGGGGGGGGGGGCTGTTTCCATACCTTTCTGTGATTCTGTAAAGTAGGCACAGTAAGAGACTTTCCGGGAAGGGCTTCGGAAGATGCAAAGATAGCAAGAGCACTAGCCCTGAAGGCCAAGGGTTATGTGGCCTTGCTGACCTCGCGAGAGGTATTTTTTTTTAATATCAATCTTTATTGTTCATATTATTACAAAGGTTCCTCATTTCCGAGAGGTATTATTTAAGGCATCAGTCCATTGTCTGCTTGAGTAGCTGTAGACAGGAAGAGACTATTTCTTCTCCAGGAATCCTTCCCAAACTGGGGGCAGCTCGAAGGTGCATACAGTTTTTCCAGATATTGGGCCCCATTCAAAGGAAAGGATAGTGTCTACTTTGATTGAGTGGCCCTCCCTGGCCCTCTGGGACAACACAAAGAAGACCTCTCCGCTCTTCTTGTAAAACTCTACAAATATTTGAATATATTTGAATATCACACCCTGAACCCTCCATTTTTTTTTTCTTTTTTTTTTTTCCCCAAAGAGGAATGTTTCATACTTTGCTTCTTAAAAACATTTGGAGCAGCTTCATTAGTCTTTGGTTTTCCTGTGATTTTCCTCTTCTCCGAAATCACCATTACATAGCCAGGTTTGTTTACTAGCCATTAATTATCATTCTTACATACTTATTTAGTGCTGTGTTATGCGTTAGGCACTGGAGGAAGTACATTGATTACTTTCTCAAAGTCCTCACGTGATTACTATGGAGCAGTTACCAACACTGTCTACATTTCAGAGATGAGGGAGTTGAAACAGAGAGAGGTAAGCAATTTGACTTCGTTGTTTCCCAGCCTTTCAGATGTGGAACCAGATTTGAACCCAGTTCTCTCTGTCCCTCATATCAGCGCTTTAACTGTTACACTATCCCCTCCATCCCCCCTGAAGTCCCTTAGCAAATGCTGGCTCTCTTCCCTGTCTCCCACAGGGTGCCCCGGAGCCGCCTGCTACTTGCTCTGACTTGAGATAAAGAAATGTCTGTTGGGCTAAATACACTTCAAATTACTGCTTCTCCTCTACATGCTGGGTAGATCCATGGATAGATCCATGGTCCTGTATTTAGGATACAGGATAGTATTTAGGATAGGATATTGCCTTTCGAGACAATCACCACAACATTCTCGGGGAAGAGGCCAAAAATAATGATAATTTAAAAGAATACCCTTACATTATTTCTTTATTTTAGTAAATTGATTTAGTTTTGTCCCCAAAACTGAGTAATACCTAAGCCAAGACAGTTGTTCTTTCTTCTTCCTCCTCACACCTCAGTAATGCACCCACAGAGTGACCCCTATGGTTTCTGAGTGCATGCGTGTGGCTTGCACCTTCCTGACAGGAGGAATAGGAAAGTATAATATTGTTAAAAACTGAGGATCATGTATCTATCCTTGTCTTCATTAACAGCTTTTGGATTTAGAAGTTTACCTCATGAAAACGTAAACAAAACAACTAACTTATTTGCACAGAAACAGTTCTCATACTAGGTGACAGAATTCTTTTACTCGAGGGAGGCTGAGAGTTAAAGCATGTGTCTCACCCTGGAAAATGGTGACCCGGTACCGTTGCTGGCTCCCCCGTGCTATTTCCTCTACTTTGACAGCAAAAATCCCAATAACATCCCTCCAGCAAACTCAGATCTGAGATGGTACTCATTTATTTATTCATTTGAGATGGTACTCATTTACTTATTCATTTGAATAAGATAGAGCTAAAGTAGAATAGTTTACATTTTAACCTATAACTTTATACCCAATATAACTGCCTTGGGCTAAAAAAAAAAAAAAAAAATTCCACTTACCTGACAATAGTAATGCAATTAGTATTTTTCCGTACATCCTGAGACCATGAGCTGGCTCACAGAGGTCAGGGCGAGAGGAGCAGCTGGGCCGGTGGAGTGTGAGCCTCCAGCCCCAGCCTGCACGCTGTTATCTGCCAGGCCCACCTTCCCGCCGGCAGCGCTGATAGGCTGGAGTGGCATTTTTAAATTATGCAAAGTGGTTAAACGCCTGTCAATAAAGATGTGTGGTTATCGGCTTCATTGGGATTATTCAAGTTGTTAAGTAAAATCTCCACTTCAAGGACCGGGCTGCTCCATGCTAATTTTACTTTACGGAAATTAAGTGGGCATTGCAAGGTAGGAGGAGTCAGGAGTCACCCCCTTGGACAGACAAGAACTGGACCGTGGAGGCCTGAGGCTGGGACGCCAGCAGGCTGTGGGGACCGTGAGGGAGTTAGGAACCTGTACATGTTTAATGTGGAGATTCTTGGGTGCCAGGAGGAAAGAGACTCACTTGTGGGATAAATGCATTTGAGAATTTCCTTGATTATTGGAGTGCTCTGAGGTTTTGAACAAACTCTCAGACTCAGATAGGTCAAACAGCAATGGAAGAATACAGGAGACACAGGAAATCTCTGATTCAAAACAGAGTTGCCCAAATAGGTGCACAGCCAGTGAGACTTTCTCTCTGAAACATGCCCCACAGGGGTAGGTGGAGGCCCAGACAATAAATTCAAGTGCTCAGCACCATAAACAAACAGGCAAACCTAAGCCCCTGTTGCAAAGAGGGTTACAATGAGGGCTAGGGCCAGCTGAGGAAGACCAATTTTAAAGGCAGACAGAACAAAAGCAACAGGAATTAGATCTGAAACAGCTCAAAAGAAGGGGAGTGGATCCTTCACCTAAATTGTCTTACTTCCTGTAAGAGTGTTTGTGAAAGTTGTCAAATATGTCATATTTACATTTTTACCCCAAAATATGGTTTTTAAAAATTACAAAATGATGTTTGCAACTTCGGAAATTGAGTCACAGACTAAAAAAAAAAATCATTTACTGGGAAAGGATGGAAGAAAATCTTAAAAGAGGGTGCCTGAGGCTGAGGAGGAGATGGGAAGTTGAGATGCAGACTTGGGGAGATTAAGACTGAGGGACAGCTGAAATGGGTTTGGCTCAGTGGATAGAGCATCAATCTGCTGACTGAAAGATCCCAGGTTCGATTCCAGTTAAGGGCATGTACCTTGGTTGCAGGCACATCCCCAGTAGGGGGTGTGCAGGAGGCAGCTGGTCAGTGTTTCTCTCTCATCAATGTTCCTAGCTTAAGAACCTGGCAATTTATGTAAAACAGTGAAGCAAAATTTATAAATAGTTAAATTGAATTAATATTTTGTAAACCAACACCTTGCTTAAATTCAGTATTATTGTGGGTGGATAACAGTTGGGTTCAGAAATTGTTCTCAACAGACAGCAAAATGAAGGAGATTTTGTGGATATGACTATAATAATTTTACATGATTTTATATTGATAAGGGGAGAGCATTTAGGATGAGCCTTAAAACTGTTATTTCCCTTTGAAAAGGGGTAAATAAATTAGTCACTATCCTCCCAGTGCACTATGAGGCAGTGGTTAAAATCACATTTTTGCCCTAGCTGGTTTGGCTCAGTGGTTAGAGCACTGGCCTGTGGAGTGAAGGGTCCCAGGTTTGATTTTGGTCAAGGGCACATGCCAGGACTGCAGGCTTGATCCCCGGTAGGTGTGCAGGAGGCAGCAGATTGATGATTCTCTCATCACTGATGTTTCTATCTCTCTCTATCCCTTCATTTTGAAATCAATAGAAATATATTAAAAAAATCATGTTTTCAATAATAGTTAATGATATGGTGACTCAGGTAAGTGGAAAGCAGCAAAATACAAAACTGTCTATATAAAAATAAAAACCTATCTGATTCTTTCTTCTTTTGGGCTGTGGTATCTCTGTCTGAAACACTCTTATTCTCCTCTTATATGGCCTACTTCCATTCTGCTTAGGCTCTCAATTTAATAACATTTCCTCAGGAGACCTTCCCTGACTTCCTATGTCTCCATCAGGGCCCCCTGCTCTGTACTCATATTGTACCCTGTTCCTTCTTCCCTTATCTTAGCACTTGTCACACTGCATTGCAATCACCTTTGTGTCCCCACTGGACTGTAAGTTCTAAGTGGGCATGCCCTGACTGTGACTATCTTATTTAGCCACCGGTGCTTGGGGCACAGTTAACAATAAATATTTGTCAGGTCAATAAATGACAAATGAATATTTCAATATAGAGGAAAGCAACTTCTTATAGGCAGTCTTGAGAGGGGAGCAGAGGCGGATCTGTGTCATATCTTAGTGTCAGGTTACTCCAGTATGAAGGTCTCTTGCTAAGGCAGGAAGGAGAAAAGGAAAATCAGCCTAACATCCAGCTTTCATGTCTTCTTCAGCCTGGAGTGATTGGACTCTGTGAGCACATTTTTCATGTGAACCCCTGCTTTCCTACAGAATCCTTCATTCATCATTCTGGGGACTCCTGTGGCAGGCACGTGCGCTAGTTCACTTATTATCCTGCATGGTCCTGTCTTCCTTGGCCTATTTCGGCATCAGGCAGAATGCCCTCCAGAGGCTGAGGGGCAGTTAGCAACTTGTCCTCAGCGCTGGCAACCAGATGCCTTGGAAGTCACCTACATGAACGTGAGACCACAGGAAAGGAACGGGCTCTTTGCTCTTGGTGGCCTAGAAGGACTAGTCAGATCTTCTAATGTGGGAAGCGGGCACTGACCTGGGGTCGGATATGGGTTTGGAGTTTCGCTCAGGCAGACATTTTGACCTGATTGTTGGTGTTTTGTGCTGTTGAGTCGGCTCCAATTCCTGGCAACTTTATGATGAGTGATGTTCACCATGTCCTGTCTCAACAGCCCTGCCCAGCTCCTTGTAGACTCATCTACGCCTTCTTTTGTGGAGTCAATCCGTCTCATATTTGGTCTTTCTCTTCCTGCTGCCTTCTGTTTTTCGGGACATTACGGTTTCTTCCAAAGAACCCTGTCTTCTCATGATGTGCCCGAACTAAGACAGCTTTAGTTTTGCCATTTCTGCTTCCAGAGATGTTTCAGGCTTAATTTATTCAAAACCTGTAGGGTTCTCGGTGTAGAAGTTGGAGGTCAGACACGTTACACACAAGGTGTGGATGCAGAACTCTACAGTGACCTCTAGTGGCGGATCTGTATAACAGAAAGCAGTGAATAATTGAGAAAAATAATATAATTGGCCACATTCATTTATACTTTCTGTCTGGCTCCTTTCTGCATTGGGTTTACAAATACAATTTAGATAGGTATCAGTAAAAGATAATGGACTAATCTATAGTAATTTCTTATATTTTTTATTGAGATGTTATGTACACAGATTTTAAGTGTGCAACTTGATGAGTCAGTTGCACATACCACATACATACATACACATGTGTGGGTGTGTAACCACCACTCAGATCAATATGTAGAACATTTTTAACACTGCCAGTAATTTCTTTCTTCCTCCTTCCCAGTCAATACCTATCCTGTATAGAGGTAACCACTACTCTAACTTCTAATGCTGTTGAAGATCACAAGTTTCACTAGGATTTGTTGAATCTGAGATTTCTCTGGAAGATTCCAGTGGAGAGGTAAAGTAGGAAGCTGGATGCTTGAACTCGGCACTTGGAAGAGGTATCTGGACTGGAGATAGAGATGGGGCGGTTATGAGCCTGTACATAGGAGAGAGTGATGGACAGGAGATAAGGGAAAGTCAACAGTGTCTTCCAGCTTGATGGAGAAGCCCCAGAATATGTCTAGACCCATCCTGGGAACTGGAGACACAGAGGAGACCCAGATCTATGGTCTCAACTAAGTTGTAGGTTCCTGAAGCAACCATCTGGAGCCTTATAAAAGACTAGAGGCCCAGTACATGAAATTTGTGCACGGAGTGGGGGTGTGTCCCTCAGCCCAGCTTGAACCCTCTCCAATCTGGGACCCCTCGAAGGATTGGGTCTAAAAGAACAGTCAGACATCCTTCTCACAATCCGGGACTGCTAGCTCCCAATTGCTCGCCTGCCTGCCTTCCTGATTGCCCCTAACCGCTTCTGCCTGCCAACCTGATCACCCCTAACCATTCCCATGCCAGCCTGATTGATGTCTAACTGCTCTCCTGCCAGCCTGTTTGCCCCCAACTTCCCTCCTCTGCTGCCTGGTCACCCCTAACTGCTCTCCCCTACAGGGTTGATTGCCTCCAACTGCCCTCCCTTGCAGACCTGGTCCCTCTCAACTGCCCTCCCTTGCAGGCCTGGTGCCTCCCAACTGCTCTCTCCTGCTGGCCATCTTGTGGTGGCCATCTTGTGCCCACATAGGGGCAAGATCTTTGACCAAGTGGAGGTAGCCATCTTGTGTATTGGAGTGATGGTCAATCTGCATATTACTCCTTTATTAGATAGAATAGAGGCCTGGTACATGGGTAGGGGCCAGCTCATTTGCCCTGAAGTGTGTCCTGGATCAGGGTGTCAGGGTGGGGGGGGGGGTTCTTTTGGGGTGTGGGGTGGCCTGAGTGAGGGGCCTGTGGTGGTTGTAGGCCAGCCATGCGTCCCCCATCCCCCTTTAGCAACCCAAGCAGAGGTCCTGGTATCTGGAATTTATTTACCTTCTATAATTGAAACTTTGTAGCCTGGAGTGGAGGCCTAGGCTGGCCAGGGTGTGTGGAAAGCTTGGCTTCCTCTGTTGCCGTGGAAACCCAAACCTCTCAACTGCTCTCTGTGGCTGCAGCCATCTTAGTTGGGGTTAATTTGCATACTCATTCTGATTGGCTGGTGGGCGTGGCTTATAGACGAGTTATGGTTAATTTGCATATTACTCTTTTATTAGGTAGGATACCTTTTGCCTGCAATTCACCCTTTTTCTTGGCGTCTCTCTCTCTCTCTTTTTTAGAGGTTGCCCACATTAGACATATATTATGTGACCATTAATTTTGACCACGACTGACTACCTCCTAGATGGATACCTGATACAACTTGAGCCCATCTGATTCCCCTCTGGGAAATGTTTTATTGAAAAATACAGATGATGGAGCCGGGACTGGTTTGGCTCAATGGATAGAGTGTCGGCTTGGGGACTGAAGGGTCCCGGGTTCGATTCCGGTCAAGGGCATGTACCTTGGTTG